CAGTGGGCAGATGTGACTTGCCGAGTCTCCCTTTGGGGGGTACCCAGCTCAATGACATTTTCTCTACTCCCTTTATTGATTTTTTTTCTCCTGTGTTGCTATTTCAGTAGTCTCTACACCTCTAATTTTAAAACCATGGGGCGAAGGAAGATTTTTCGGTCGTGTCATTTTTTTTCTATATAGCTGTCTAATTTTGTGCTTTGAGTTTTCTTGTGAATTTTTGCCTGATTAGTCATTGTCTTTTTATCTCTTGGTTCTCTTTGTCTTTCCCCTCATTTTTCATTCTTTTTCTTCTGCCTCTGCTCCCTTGTTCCCACAGGCCCTTAAATCTTTATGCTGTGCTCTTCTTTTAAGTTGTGTTTTCCACTTCCCTTCCAAGCTTGCTCTGGCAAAGAAACATGGAAGAGAAGGGAGCCATGGGAAGGTTAACAGGAAAGTCCAGATGGAACTAACCCCAGGTGCCCACCCACCCCAGCTGTTTTGAAAACATGATGCTATTCCTAATATGGTCCCTTTGCCAAAATCTGTATGAAAGGAGGACAGAAAATTGGGGTTAGTCTAGTCATCTTCCTGCCTTTGGCTCACTAGAGGATCCCTAGGCAGGTTGCTTCCTGTCTTTAGGTCTCAAGTTTCCTGACTGTAATAAAATGAAGAGGTTGGATTCTGCTAACCCTTCCATACTTTGGAACCCCAGTATATGAAACATGATTGCCTGAGTAGGGTCCCAGAGTCACCTTCGTGAGTGGGCCACTGCCATTGCCTTTCTACTCCCCTACCTTGAAGGGGCCATGTGGAGCACTGGGTTGTTTAGTAGATTTAACAGAGGAGACAATTACTGACAAAGTTTCTAGAACCCTTGGCAGGCAAAGAGGGGCTGGGAAGGCAGCCTAGAGATTGGCAGTAGCGGAATCCTCTGAGCCTGAGGGGTGGAAGGAGATGGTGTTATCAGTGTCTGGGGCCAGCCAATGGGTGCAAGAGTCATGGTGGGACAGATGGTGGGAGCTGAAATTAGGAAGGGCTTTCTTGGGGGATCTGAAACGTCAGAAGAGTGGCAGTACTGCTGGAGTTGATGACCGACTCAGAAAGATGAAGACAAAGCCTGATGTCTTCTTCTCATTTTCCAGTCTCTGAGCGGGGTCTCAGATTTAGGAAGAAGCTCGTTGGCAAAGAGCTTGGGGACTGACTGGAAGGCAAACAGGCAAATAATTGGTAGAAACAATTGAAAGGTACTGGGTCAAGTGGTCCTTAAACTCCTTTCCATTGTTTATATTCTGGAGTACATGGATTCCCCAGGAAGATATTAGTCCAAGATTTTAACAGGTAGCTCTGCATACGAATTCAAATACTTCTGTCATTCTAGTGTGTTATGATAGCCTCTACTCATAGTTCTCCTCCCAACCTCCCTCCCAAAGCCTGAAGCAGTTACATTTTTCCTAACAAGCACTATGACAGTGTTTTGTGAGAATTCCATTCCTGGCAGACTTGGCCTTTTGAAGAGAAGAACACAGTTATCCCAGTCTCAGTTTTTATCATCAAGGGGCCCCTGGGAATGTGGGACCAGAATATAAACACAGGGAACCAACAGTATTACTCAGTGGCTCCATATTGTGGATTAGAGAAGTTTTGCTGCTTGACAGCTGTCTGTAATCTTTGGCCATTGACTTAACTGTCAGCCTGAATTTCCTGATTTGTAAGATGGTTTTCGTAGGATGCTACAGATAGGCTAGGTTCAGCCACAGTAACAAGTATTCTCCAGAATTTCAATGGCAGGAAATCCACAAAGGTTTGTTTTTCATTACACATTCATTGTGAGTGTTTTTCATTACACATTCGTTACACATTCATGTGTCTGTCTTCACTGACTCCTGGCTGGTAGATAAGTACCAAGGTAAATATTCCATTCCCCATGTCAAGAGAGAGAGAACTTAGGGGGAAAATGGTTGACAATCAAATGTTGGTCCAGATGAGTTACACATCATATATATTCATGAGTTATTGATCAGAACTAGTTACACAGCCACCCCTAACTTCATCTAAGGCAAGGAAGTACCTGGAAAGAGGAGGATCAGCAGTATATGTTGGTTTGCATTAGTGACAGCTGTGGAGAAAAAGAATACTTCACTTTTCACAATTAGATAGTATGAATGCTTATTATCATGCCTAGCACATGGCCAATGTGCCATGATAGGAGAGGAAACTATTCTTATTATTGTTTTTATTATTCAGTTGATAATATTTCCAGCATACATTACACCATCCACTTACTTAGTAAATTTTTCTTCCTTTTTTTCTATCCCCTGAAAATGCAGAGGTAGACTTTACTTTTTTCCTCTGTGGATGTTCCACAGATTCCTAGTAAATGCAGTTGAGTTGGAGCTTTAGACCCGGTCAAGGACCCTGCTCTTCTGAGTTTAGGTTTGACAAAGGGAGGCAATCATTCTGTAAGATGATCACTTTGTGAAGTGATAGCTTGGGTATTTGCAGTGGCTTGGAACTATGTTCACTGTGTTGGTTTTCAGTTTAAGAGCAACAGACTTTAAGCAGGCTTTCATCTGAGTCAAAGCAGAAACAGTCAATATGTATTATAGGTCTATGAAGCTAGCCTGTGGATCAATTGCAATTAGTTTGCAGCAGATTGCATTAACATATCCAAAATTAATACGGTGAGTGTTCTAATGAAAAGGAATTGACCAGACCACACTGTTTTTAGTCTCTCACATGCTCTTTTCAAACTGTATTTCTTTTTTTCGTCTTCCTTTAATGGCTTTAAGTTGATGTGTCAACATAGACTTAATCTATTGATCCTTCCCCATCTATCTTTTAAAAGTGTTCCCAGAATATAGTATATATCTAACGTTTAATCTTTTCTTTCATTAGGGAGCTTTTACTAAATGCCTTAAACTTGAATTTTTCTTGGTCCATTGTGTGATGTGTTAAGACTCTTAAGTCAATGAGTATGGTCATGTGTGAAATTTTGTGTTTTTTTCCATTTACAAATGTTTCATCAAGACTTAAAAATTCAGAAGTAAGAAAAAAAATTCAGAAATAAGGTTAACAAATCGTATATACAATTAATAAATCATACAGTGTATGATGTGAATGTACCTTGTCTGGTAATTTATTTTGTCTCAATATTATTCATTTCTGAAGAAGAAGTGTAGACAACTTCAACATTTAAAATATCATTACCAGTATTTGGAAGGCTGGAACAAAGAGATTTCTTTAAGTTAAGCTTGATTATGTCGACATTTGAATTTTTTTACTAGTGGTGTGTAAATTTTTTTTAAGGTCTGAAGTACTTTTCTATTTTTAGGAAAGTCACTTTCTGGAAATGAAAATTAACCTGTAGTTAGGAACAAAAGGACAAAAGGCAGGGTTTATTCATTTGACCATCTAACTTGTATTTCTTGAGTATCTGCCATATGCCAAACACCATTACATTCTTCTTAAAGATACAAAGAAGTTGAAGATACGCTCTGCCCTTGAGTAAAATCAAGGTTCTGGAACCTTCTTAGAATGTCTCTCGTCCAGAAAAAGTCCATGAATGCATTGTAGCTTGTAAGGTTCTGGAACCTTCTTAGAATGTCTCTCGTCCAGAAAAAGTCCATGAATGCATTGTAGCTTGGAGATTCCAGAAGAAAAGGTCATTTTAAGACACATTTGAGGTCCTGAAACCTAATGGTTCTATGTTGTAAAGTCCTGTGGACCTGTTAATGATCTGTGTGATATTGTCTTGGCCATCCATCAAGGCTATAGACAGAAGCCACTAGGAAGTGTGTCAGGTTATTTTCCTCTACCAATCTTGTGATCAGTTGCATGATTGACTTTTTGGTTTGTGCATTAAGGGCATTGTTATCTTACCTACTGTAAGTAGTGGTTTTTTGCATCATGACTCATGATTGGAAATGAGCTTAAACTTGGTATATTCATTTTTTTCTTTTTTTTTTCCTTTTAAAAATGGGGTGAAGAGATTTGATTGGGAATGCTGTTGGTCTTACTGGATAAAATGAGAACAGTTTATTTGTTCATGTTCTGCTCTTTGATTACTTTTTTTCAGCACAGATTAAAAACTGATAGTACATATTGGAAAACCACTTCTACATAATGCTTAAGGAAAGTTACTTTAATACAGAACGTATAATTTTTAGGAAATAGTTTAATGATTGTTTAAGGTTACAATCCTCAAATTTGTGATTGAAAGAGAATATCATTAAGTACATAATGACTGTGCCTAGATTCCCTTAAAAACTATGGTAAAGAAGTGGGCTAATCTGTGGCCCATTGAACTTCAAAAGGTTAAAAAATTTTTTTTTAAAAATTATTTATTTATTTATGATAGTCACAGAGAGAGGCGCAGAGACATAGGCAGAGGGAGAAGCAGGCTCCATGCACCGGGAGCCCCATGTGGGATTCGATCCTGGGTCTCCAGGATCGCGCCCTGGGCCAAAGGCAGGCGCCAAACCGCTGCGCCACCCAGGGATCCCAAGGTTAAAAAAATTGTTCTGAGATACCCAACGATGATTAGCGATGTGCACACACTAAAATAGTGCTCTGAACTTTATTTGGGGTGGGAATAGGGGGAGACATATCCTATATAATAAAGTTCTTAACATCTTTAAAAATAACTTTTTATTCTTAAATACTTAGATTCATAGAGAACTGCAAAAGAAGTACAACAATCTCGTGTGCCCTTCCTCCTCTTGCCCTCATGTTGACACCTTATATAGTTTCAGTTCAGTGTCAAAACTAAGAAGTTGACATTGGTGCATTCCTGTTAACTAGATAATATACCCTGTTCAGTTCTTACCATTTCTTTAAACCTGCATTCATTTGTTGGGTGTGTAGAATTAAGCTTGAAGAACTTATATAGTCTTTTACTCCTTTTAAAAATACCTGTGTTGCTAATCATTATTTGAGGGTGTAAGACTGGCTACATATATTGACTGTTATTTTTCTTGTTATTTTTAAGTATTCTTACCTGTCTCTCTCAATTTCTCTAGGCAGTTCAGTTAACCCCCCGAAGATGGCTGAACCTGCAGGAATACCAGAGCAAGAAACTGATGTCTGACAATGGAGTCAAAGTTCAAAGATTCTTTGTAGCAGATACTGCAAATGAAGCTCTGGAGGCTGCTAAGAAACTAAGTAAGCTAATTCACAACAGGTGAAATAACACATGCCCAAATTAGTGACCTCACAGGTAGCAGTGAACTCGTAGGTAAATTTCTTTGTAGCAGGTTATACTAATGGCGACAGGTACGATGGAGAGCTTTTGAATTGCAAAGGCAAAAAAGCCCAATTAGGAAAATGTGATTCTTTTTCATGAGATAGCAGTGTATGGGATGGATGTCACTCTGGTAATTTTTCCAAATTTTTCCACCATCATTTCACATAGTTCTCTTGATCTGTGGGTTTAGTGGCTGGGGAAATAAGGGTAAAGGGTATAGAGTGTCAAACAGAAGTCCACAGCTAGGTAAGGTGGGAAAGATGGTTGGCATCCTCGTTGAAGCCTCTAGAACACTTAGAAAGTTCTTTCTGAGTAACTGGAGGAGAGGAAGGGGAAGGGCATGCATTTGGAAGCCAGGCTGACTTTGGGTCAGGGTTTTGCCCTTCCATTTACCAGCTCTATAAAACTTTGTAAAAGTGCCTTCTCCTTTTTGTGCCTCAGTTTCCTTATCTAGAAATCAAGGCTAGTGTCTTATCTCCCAATGCTGTTGTGGGCCTTTAAGGGAGACTATACATTGGTATGTGGTAAAAAATCTAATTTTCCAATTATATATAGAAAAAATAGGAATCAGATCTTACTTTGTTTCCACCAATATTCCTCCTGGTGGTTTACAGGCTCAGTCTGGTTTAGCACTGTCCAATAGAAATATAATGTGAGCCACGTAAGTATTTAACAATTTTCTAGGTCACTTTAAGAGAACTAAAAAGAAATGGGTGAAATTCATTTTAGTAATATATTTTGTTTACCCCAGTATATCTAAACTATTATTTCAATATGTAATTAATGTAAAAACAATTATCAGTGGCATAGTGTGCATCCAGATTTTGTCCTACTCTTCAGGAGTCAGATTTGTATTTTAAATTTCCAGCCCATCTCATTTCACACTAGCCACATTTCAGGTGCTTGATAGACATGTGGAGCTAGTGGCTACCATATTGGGCAGCATAGATACAGACACTAGAAGGGTATACATATGTATTCTTTGCTTGCAGCCTTGGAGGACAGCTGCTTCCCACTAGAAGTAAAGAATGGAGCGTCTGCTAACTGCCCTTACCAGGCGACTATAGCAAAAGTTTGAGAGTACAAGATAGAGGCAGGCTCCATATTTCAATTTCCCAATTTTGTATGCTCTTTTAAGAGTAAGCAATGATGTACTTCAGCTAGTTATTGTTCTTTTATTTCCCTTACAGAGTTCCCCCAGATGCTTATATGCCAGATCCTTTCTATGTTATGTCAGTTGAAAAATATGTTTATTCTTCCCTTCAACAAATATTTATTGATTGTCAGCCACATGTATTAGGCACTGTGGATACAGCTGTGGAAGATAAGCAAGCCCTCTTTCTTTTTAGAATTTACATTCTAGAAGGTAATTAATTTGTAATTTTTAGATGCTAAGTGTAGAAATTGAGAGTAACTTATAGTTTAAGAAATGGAAATTGGTTTCATTTTCAAAAACTATCAAGATTGGTTTTTATGGTGGAAAAAAAAATGGTAAAATTCAATCTTGACCTGAATGGGAGCTCCTCTTTGCAGTGTGGGAATAGAGTCAGTAAAGGTTAGTATTCCAATACATGAAAAGATCATTTTTGTTTTATACTCCTGTGGTTTAGGGAATGGGTAATGAGAACAAAGAAATGTAAAGTTCAAGTCGGTCTTTGGTCTTCATTTTCCCCATTATTTCCAGTATGTGCTGACATACTAACATTCCAGGTCCAAGGATCCTTAAGGGAATTCTGGAAGCCAGCTGATTACTAGCCCCTCCCCACTTAGGCACAGCACAGCAAAGAGGGCTTATTGTTCTGATTTTCAATGGAAATTTGGACTTACTGAACTAATTGGCTTCTTAGTTGATGGTTTGTTTTATAAGCATTTATTTAGCCACCGCTTTGTAGTTGGGACATTATATACTATGTTTGTAAGACATAATTTTTGCTCTGCAGAAATTAACAAGGTTGCATTTATATGCTGCGCCAGAGTAAAGGCAGGGAGACAGACTATAAAGCAAGTTTAAATAAAAGTAAAATTAAAACATTAAAGTAAACTTTTCAGAAAGCCATTTTGGTTCTTGAGTGGTTTTAAGAAAATCAAAGTGGATAAAAGGATTAGATTGACCCCTCTGTGCCTGTACCTTGGCCTGTGCATACCTGTGATACTCATTTAGGCAGTGTGGCCATGGGAGTGCCTCTCTGATCCTGTTTAGGGATAATAGAGAACTAATCCAAGCCCCTCATTTCCTGAATGAATGAGTAGTGCTTCTCTTACTCAGTGAGGAGTTTTGGAGGAAGAAAGGTGTCCTCTGGCTTTTGTTGTATAATAGACAGTTTTGATCAGAGGGAATATTTAAAGTATTGGAAGAAGAGATGGTACCAAGTCTAGCTGGTTAAAAATGAAACGAGTAGATAGAAAATATAAAAAAGTCAGTGAGATTGGCTAGAGAGCAAAACAAGAAGAATTTGGCAAAACTTCATAGCATTGATTTGCTTATTGCTACAAGGTAGACAAGAACCAATAGCAAAAGCTTTACTAAATAGATTTGAGGTTAAGGTTAAAGCTGGATCACACATGTATCTTTGTGATTGCCCTGAAAATCTGCCCTACAATTATATTTTAAAGGAGAAAAGTTACAGAGAAGGATAATATGCTTAAGGTGTTACGTTAAGAGTTTATTGCTATCATCATCATCATTATCAGCATGTGATTCCAAGGGACTCACTGCTGTCATGATTCAAATTCATAGACAAATCAGGGACACTTGATAATCAGCATTTTCTGGATCATGTGTTAAGAGAGTTCATTTTTTAATTTGAGAAGTTTGTAAATGATTGAAATGTATTTACCTTTCTACTTTATTCATATTTGGATGTGTTTAAAATATAATGATATGTATAAAATATTTGTCAACTCTCAGTTGTACCAAACCTTCTCTTTTTATCTCCCCCTACTTACCCATCTGAGATTCCTCTCAATCATCTTTTTTTTTCCCCTGTTTCTTGATTTGTCTCTCTTTTTTTCACCCTTTGCTCATTTGTTTTGTTTCTTAAATTCCATGTATAAGTGAGATTATATGGTATTTGTCTTTCTCTAACTTATTTCACTTGGCGTGATACCCTCTGGCTCCATCCATGTCACTATAAATCGCAAGATTTCATTCTTTTTTATGGCTGAATAATAACACACACACCCCGCATCTTCTTATCCATTCGTCAATTGATGGATACTTGGGCTGCTTCCATATCTTAGGTATTGTAAATACTGCTGCAATAAACATAGGAGTCCACATATCCCTTTGAATTAGTGTTTTTGTATTCTTTGGGTAAATACCCAGTGTTGTGACTGCTGGACCAGATGGTAGTTTTATTTTTAACTTTTTGAGGAACCTCCATACTGTTTTCCAGAGTAGCTATTCCAGTTTGCATTCCCATCCTCTGTGCACAATGGATCCTTTTTCTCCATATCCTCACCAGCACCTGTTGTTTCTTGTGTTGATTTTAGCCATTTTTTAAAAAGATCTTATTTATTTATCCATGAGAGAAACAGAGAGAGAGGCAGAGACACAGGCAGAGGGAGAAGCAGGCTCCATGCAGGGAGCCCGATGTGGGACTTGATCCCAGGTCTTCAGGATCACGCCTTGGGCCGAAGCTGGTGCTAAACCGCTGAGCCACCTGGGCTGCCCGATTTTAGCCATTTTGACAAGTGTGAGGTGGTATCTCATTGTGGTTTTGATTTGCATTTCCTTGATACTAAGCGATGATGAACATCTTGTCATGTGTCTCTTGACTATCCTTTGGTGATCTGCATGTCTTCTTTGGAAAAATGTGTATCCGTATCTGCCCATTTTTTTTAAAGATTTTATTTATTCATGAGAGACACACACACAGAGAGAGAGAGAGATAGAGAGAGAGAGAGAGAGGCAGAGACATAGGTTGAGGGAGAAGCAGGCTTCATTCAGGAAGCCTGACGTGGGACTTGATCCCAGGACTCCAGGATCACACCCTGGGCCGAAGGCAGGCACCAAACCGCTGAGCCACTCAGAGATCCCTCTGCCCATTTTTTTTTTTTTTAATGATAGTCACACAGAGAGAGAGAGAGGCAGAGACACAGGCAGAGGGAGAAGCAGGCTCCATGCACCGGGAGCCCGACGTGGGATTCGATGGTTGATCTTTGACAAAAAAGGAAAGAACATCCAATAGAAAAAACAGTCTCTTCAATGAATGGTGTTGGGAAAACTGGACAGAAAGATGCGAAAGAACGAAACTGGACTACTTTCTTACACCTTAGACAAAACAATGTCCACACTCACCAATGTTAGTCGATATGGTACTGGAAATCCTAGCAACAGCAATCAGACAACAAAAAGAAATAAAAGGCATCCAGATCAGTAAGGAAGAAGTAAAACTTCCACTATTTGCAGATGACATGATACCATATATAGAAAACCTGAAACACTCCACAAAAAAACTGCTAGAACTGACACAAGAACTCAGTGAAATTGCAGGACACAATATCAATGTAGAGAAAGCTGTTGCATTTCAAATACCAATAATGAAGTAGCAGAAAGATAAATTAAGAAAAGAATCCTATTTACCAGTTGTACCAATAAGATACCTAGGAATAAACCTAACCAAAAAAGTGAAAGATCTATGCTCTGAAAAATATAAAACACTGATGAAAGAAATTGAAGATAACACAAAGAAACGGAAAGATATTCTATACTCATAGATTAGAAGAATATTGTTAAAGTATCTATACTCCCCAGAGCAAACTACACAGATAATGCAATCGCTATCAAAATACCAACAACATTCTTCACAGAACTAGAACAAACAATTCTAAGATCTGTATGGAACCACAAAAGACCCCAAATAGCCAAAGTAATCTTAAAAAAAAGAAAACAAAATTGGAGGCATCACAATTCCAG